GGTGAGCAGAATTCTAGGAAGGACCCCAGGATTCCCACCTCCTGTTGTGCATGTTCTATATAATCCCCGTCCCTTGACTGTGGGAGGAACTTTTCGATGTACTGAAATTGCACTCCCGTGATTAGGCTGCATGATATGGTAAAGGTAAAGAGATTTTGCAGAGGTTCCCGAAAGGCCCCCCTGAAAGGAAGTTGACTTTGAGGTCGTCATAAGGAGAGTATCCTGGGTGGGCCTGACCTAATCAGATGAGACCTTTGAAAGAGCATTCAGGCCCACCCTGATGGAAGAGATTTGAAATGAGAGCAATACTCCTCTGCTGACCTTGAAGAAACAAACAGCCATGCTGTAAACTGCCTATAGAGACAGCCCCGTGGCAAGGATCTGAGAGCAGCCTGTAGTTGCTGAGAGTGGTCCCCAGCTGATGACCAGCAAGAAAACGGAGGCCTCAGTCCTACTGGAACAAGAAAGTGAATTCTGCTAACAACCGTGAGCTTAGACGAGAACTCCCAGTTTCCAGTAAACACCTAGATTGCAGCTATATGGGATCGTGAGCAGGGTATCTAGGTGAGCCTTGCCTGGGCTCCTGCCCACAGACACTGTGAAATAGGAGTTTGTATTGTTTTAAGTCGCTAAGTTTGCAGTAATTTTTTATACAGCATAGAACACTAATGCGGATCATGCTATTACTATTTGATGGATAAAAGGAGAGAATATATTAGGATGAAAAGTCATATTTGTTTGACTGCTTTTGTTAAACTCTTTGATACAGCAAAAGGCAGCGAGTGACTAACTTAAATATTAAGTCCCTTGGTGCAGGTCAGTACTGCCAGGCTGTGAATATCCATCAGCCCATCCCCATTATTCTACAAAGGCTCTGGAGCATAATTTAGGGAGGCTTCTAAAACACCCAGAGAAAGTCCATGCTTTCTGTGTGGGATGTTTATGAAGGACCCTAAATGGATTTGTTCTGAGGCCCCAAAATGTAGGATGACATTCCTCCCAACTTTACCTGTCACTGTGTTTCCTCCAGTGAGCACTCTCTTTCATTAACAAAAGTGTCCCATTAAAGAGGGTAAGTTTTATTTTCACTCCACCCATGAGACTTCCTGATTCACTAGAACCATCCTAGAAAATGATGGAGGCTCTTTACCTGACATTTCTTCTTGCTTGAGGGGGAGACTTAATAAGCAAGTTAAGTCTCTACAGCAGTGATTTCTGACCTTTTTAGATAAAATTTTCTTTGAAAATCTGTTGCAAGCTATGGACTTCTCTCACCGTAGATTTGAACATATGCAAATAATCACAAAATTTCCAACATAGTTGAGGGTGTCCATGAAACCCCCCAAAGCCCATTCACAGACCCCTTTGTTTCTTGGAGTCCAGGTTAAAAACTCAGCTCTTGTATAAAAATCCCAGAGCCACTAGAGTCTAAATCAGTATGAAATCGTTTATTTATGAATGATCTTTAAAGCCCCAAAGATACCCCTCTGGATATCAGGTATATGCTGAGACTACCCATCCACCTGTCCTTTCTTGTTAGGGTCCACTAGAACCATCAGTAAGACAAGATCACAGCCTACAAGGCCCCTTGGCAATGTGCTATTGCAATTCTGAAGGGAAGCAAAGGAAGTGCCGCCATAGTAGGAAGGAGAAGAAATGGTGACCCAAAGTGGCATCCAATTCTGCCAAAACAGGTTTCAGTTGATGTTCCTGAAAATAAATAAAGTAAAATAAAGAATAAAAGTCTAAATAGCCACATTGAAAATTGCTCTGTAGGGTACTTCAAATGTGAGATATTACAACATGCAAAATATTTTTACTATTCGTAAAGATGATACAATGCATTCCTACTTTTTAATCACCTTATAGGAACTGATATAATGTATTTTTCTCTTTGCCATATCACAAATATAGGGGTTAACAATTTTCTTCTCCCTACAGAGCCAATAGAATGGAAATAATAACAGCCTTCTGGCAGGGATTATGAAGGTAGTACAATCCTTTCTCTTTCTTTTTTCTTTTTTTCCTTAGAGACAGGATCTCACTCTGGCTGGAATGCAGTGGAACTGCTAGGCTCAAGCCATCTTCCTGCCTCAGCCTCCTGAGTACCTGGAACCACAGGTGCGTGCCACTCTACCTGGCCGATTGTTTTTAGACCGGGTCTTGCTATGTTACCCAGGCTGGTCCCACACTCCTGGCCTCAAGCAATCCTCTCTCCTCAGCCTCCCAAAGTGCTAGGATTACAGGCATTAGCTCCCACACCTGGCTTCTCTTTCTTTGTTTTTAAGGGATGAAAACTAGTTGCATTGTGGGAGGAGTCTGAAAACCACTGGCTCATGTGCCTCTATTGGCTGGAGTTGAGACATTAAGGAAAATATTTCTATGTGTCCTTTTCTTCTTTTCTCCCTGAACTGGGGTTTCCAACAGGTGCATCCTCTTCTTTTCCTTGTAGTAATTCTATTGGGACAGTCTTTGCTCGTGCACTGGGGAGGCCTTCAATTTGAGCTGGGTAATTTCTACTCTGAGGGAAGGCACAGGAAATTTCCTGTGGACACAGATCGAAGATGCATTTTCAATCCAACTTTATTAGCAATAGTGCTTATATTTATATCCCTGACACCATGTCTATTTTGAATTGGCTCCAAACTCAGAGGAAAAGGAAAGCAAGTAACAGTTTATGGAGAGATACCATTAATATATTTTCTGTTTTGAGCAAAGAAAATTATCTTATGTTTTTCTTCTCTTGGTAATGGCAATCTCTAATAGACCTAATTCACGTGATACATACTGATAGGATTACTTGGAGAGAATTGCTTTGCAGTACCAGCTAGTAGGACCCAGACTGATGAGGTCTCACACCATAAATTCCAGGCTGAAAGAGCCTGTGTGAGGTGCTCAGCCCAAAGTCCTTAGAAAAGCAGGTAAGAACTAGAACTTTACACCAAGCCAGTGCTTTAGGGTGTCTTGACAAATTTGGTCCTCAGATTTCTGTCCTTCTAGGTTATTGGGATTAGGCAAAGTCTGCCAGAACATTTAACCATGTATATAGATTTCACTGATAAAATTTATTAATTAGTTAGCATTATAATATAACATGTCTTCTAGGGACTCTGAGTAAACTAAGAGCATGAACAAGTAATAGAGCAATAGTGTTTTGAAACTTCAAAGCAGAAGAGTGATAACACATAATGACCAGACGAGTTAAGAGTGAGTCATGCCTGGGAGAAAATATTTGCAATTTATACATCTGATAAAAGAACTGGCACTGAGTTTCTAAAGAATTCTTATAACTGAAAAATAAAGGAAAATGACCCAATTTTTTAAAAGTTGGCAAATATTTAAATAGACATTCCCCAAAGAAAATATAACGATAGCAAATAAGCACATGAAAAGATATTCAACAGCATTAGTTATTAGGGAAATGCAAATCAAAATCACAAAGAGAGACCACTTCATGCTCACTGAGGCAGCTATAATAAAAAAGAGATAACAACTAATACTGGCAAGGATGTGGGGAAACTGCAGCCCACAACCCTCATATGTTGCTGATGGAAATGTAAAATGGTGTGGCCATTTTGAAAAACAGTTTGTCAGTTTCTTAAAACGTTAAGCATAGGGTTAACTCTGTAGTGCATTATATGATCAGTTAGCACAAAGTCCGGGAGAAGCACGGTGGCAAATGACATGAGAGAAGGCCTCATCTATTTATCAATACACAAGGTATCGACTTTATGCCTTTCAAAACTTTTGAGCACTGACGTTCTTATTGTTAATCTATTTCTGTCAATAAAATATCAGAGCCTGATTTAAAAAAAAGTTAAGCATAAATTTACTACACCAAAAGAAATTATACTCCTAGGTTTATACTCAAGAAAAATGAAATCCACACAAAGACTCATACACAAATATTCATAGCAGCATTATTCCTAATAGCCCCAAACTAGAAATTGTACATCAACTGTACATCAAATGTACATCAACTGGTGAATGGATCGACAAAATATACTATATCCATGGAATGAAATACTATTAGGCAATAAAAAGCATCAAAGTATACATACATACCACAACATGAAAGAATCCTAAAAACATTATGCTAAGTGAAATAAGCCAGCTACAAAATACCACACATGTATAATTTCATTGCATGACAGACACAGAAAAGGCAAATCGGCGGAGATAGAAAGTAGATTCCTGGTTTCTTGGGCTTGGGGTGGGAAAGAGGGGTGGCTGCAAATGGAGGCAAGAGATCTTTTGGCGTGAAACAAACATTCTAAAATTGAATTCGAGTGATGGTTGTACAGTAAAACCATAATAAAGCTGCTTTTGAAAAAAGAACCATTCATGAATTAGACAGCAATCAGTAACTGTTACTGAATAGATATGATATTTTTGAAGGGCAGTGTGACAATGTCAATGAAGACTTTAAATATATATCCCCTTTGACCCTCCAATATTTTTAGCAACTTACCCTAAAGATATACTCCCTTTCGGGCACCAGAGATTGGTTTCATGAAAAACAATTTTTCCACGGACCATGGCGGGGGGTGATTTCGGGATGATTCAAGTGCATTACATTTATTGTGCAGTCAAACCTCTCTGCTAATGATAATCTGTATTTGCAGCCACTCCTCAGTGCTAGCATCACCACCTCAGCTCCACCCCAGATCACCAGGCATTGGATTCTCACAAGGAGCCACAACCTAGATCCCTCGCATGCGCAGTTAACAGCAGGGTCCGCGCTCCTATGAGAATCTTAACGCTGCCGCTGATCTGACGGGAGGCGGAGCTCAGGCAGTGATGCGCGTGATGGGGAGCGGCTGTAAACACAGATAAAGCTTTGCTCACTTGCCCACCACTCACCTCCTAACAGGCCATGAACTGGTCCACGGCCCGGGGCTGGGGACTTCAGTCTTAAAGTAGGGTGGAATGAAGTTAGGGAGAGACTCCTTCATGATTTCAACAGCCAGGTATTTTTACATCAAGGTTCAAATTGTTACCTGTTCATCTACTTCTTGAAAACCGTCAGCGTCGGTGCCATTCGTTTCAAACTTTCCACATGGGCCACTAAGAGATGAGCCGCTATCGCTTATGCTGCTGCTTTCTGGGGTGCCCGTGACACTGTCCCCGGCCGGCCGCGAAGACACGAAGAGGCTGATGTTGTCAAAATCATCATCGCAGAGCCTGTTCTCTGCATCCACTTTCTGCGTTTTTGCTGGATTGTAGGGTTTTAGGAAGGAGGAATACACATATCCTTTTATAGCTGGATAGGAAATAAAAAGGAAGAAGAACCAAAGTCATGGGTGTGCTCTTCCCAAAGGTGTGCTCAGAGAAGCACACACAGGCCCCCGGGAATATCTCAACTTAAAGAGCATTGGAGTTCTAGAAAAAAACTTACTTCCTGTGTCAACGAGCCACCTGCCTGTACTCCCCCGTGGGTCTTTCTGTTCCACCACAGCCACCAGCTCTCCTTCCAGAAGGTTGATGTCCAGTTCCTGAGTCGCATTGCACTTGCGCTTGGCTTGGTAAAGTTCCTCTGCGTTGTACGTGGATAGAAGTTTGGAGCGGTGAGCGTCATTTTGACGTGGCGTTTCTGGCTGGGAGAAACAAGGAGAAGTTTTGGTTTAGATAGATGTACAAAAAAATCCCCTCTGCGTCGATAAATATTTTTTTTCTCTGGAGATTTTCTAAATGTAGAAGCCATACATTGATTTGGGGTTATTTCAAGGTGGGAGCATAGATCAGGCTGTTACTGTGAAGTACCCAGCTGAATCATTCAGTGAAAAATTCTCTAGTAAGCACATGAGGGCAGTGTTGTAGAGAAGAAGGAATAAGAAGGCAGAGAGGTTCTAACCCCTCTAGGATATTGAGCAACTTTTTAACTCTTTGCCGTTCTGTAGATAATCCCTTGCATATTAAGCACTTGATAAATACTATTCAATTAAGTATATGTTTATGTATTTTTCTGGGAAATAGGCAGGAGTCAAGAGGCCTATACCCCTTTCCAGCTCTGGCCCTAAGTGACTTTGAGAAGCTGCTTCCCCATGGAGCCTGGGGTGCCTTATCTAGAAAATGAAAGAGTTGGACGATATAATTTATCTCTATAAAATCTTATTCAACGGATATGACAAACGTGAGAAACACCATTGTAGGCACTTTGGGGATACATCATATACAAAACAGAAAAAAAATCCATGATCTTATGGGATTTATAGTATAGAGGGTAGAAACAGATAAGAAATGATACACTTAAGTAGGTAAATTATGAGATATTGGAACAAGATAAGTGATATGGAAAATAACGTGATATACGATTTGAACAAGGCAAGAAGTGACATTCATCATTGTCGTGAACACTGCCAAACGTACCAGACTCTGCACAGGCTTCTTCTTTTCAAAGCTGAGCTTCCTCTCGATAAAGGTGGTACTGTTGTCTTTTACAAAAGTCAGACTTTGAACCTCTTCCAGCAGTCGGTTCTGAATCTCAGAAATGCCCGAGACCAGCAATGGAGCCTGTAGGTAGAAATGACATGGCGTCATTTCCAGACAGCTGAATAACCCTGTTAGGTATTAAATTTAGTGGAGTTACGATAAACAGGTGAGACAGTATATGATAGTTTCGCAGTGAAAACTTGGGGTAACTTTAGAGCTTCTAGATAAAGATAATTTAATTTTCTGTCTCTGGAAATCCCACTAAAATAATAGGACAACTTTTTAAAGATTAAAGCCTAAATAAAAGAAAAACAGAAGAGCAAAAATAAGCAATAGCGTCTTGGAAGGAAGGCTCAGGAGTGGATGGCAGCGGGTCAGATGGAGGCAGGGAAAGTGGCTAAGTCAAGAAGCACCAATTAAAAGCCTGTGCTGGTTCTTGAAAGAAGACATACAAATGGCCAAAAAATATGTGAATCACCAATCATCTGGGAAATACAAATCAAAACCACAATGAGGTATCATGTCAACCCAGTTAGGGTGACTATTACCAAAAAGACAAAAAATAGCAAATGCCTGTGAGAATGCAGAGAATAGGGAACTGTCGTACACTGCTGGTGGGAATGGAAACTAGAATAGCCACGAAGGAGAACAGTCCAGAAGGTCCTCAAAAAACTAAAAATAGAACCACCTACCATATGACCCAGGAATCCCATTCCTGGGCATTCATCCAAAGCAGAGAAAACCAGCCTATTGAAGACACAGCTGCACCCCATTTCCACTGCGGCACGATTCACAAGAGCCAAGATACGGAATTAACCCAGGTATTCAACAGAAGAATGGGCCAGAAAATGTGCTCCCTATAACTTTGACTCAAACTGTACAAAAGCATTGCATATAACCAAAACGTTTGTACCCCCATAATGGTCTGAAATTTTTTTTAAAAATCATGTCTTTGTTTTGCTTCCTCACCAGAATGCTTCTGTAAAATGTAAAGTTTTATCAAGACTCAAAGAAATAAGTTGGAATAAAACTGTTGTGATAGACAGCAGTGAGGTCCACCAGGACTTCCCGTTCTCCTCTCCTTGTGGGTATGCGGAGAGACTGCGTCCGCTTGCCTCGCTGACCTCGGGAGTGGCTAGGTGGCCCGCTTCGGCCAACGGAATGAGAATGCAAGGGACACATGCCGCTCCCACGCGAAAGCATTTAGGAATTGGTGCACCATGCTCCATGCTCTCTCCTCTACTGCCAGGGTGTGCGTGGAAGTCTATATTGACGTAGAGGTACCATAAGATAAAAGAATAAAAACAGAAAGTAAAAAAAAATGCGGTACATATACACAATGAAATACTATTCAGCCATAGAAGAGAATGAATCCTGTCATTCGCAGCAACGTGGATAGAATTGGAGGATATTATGTTAAGCGAAATAAGCCAAGAGCAGAAAGTTAAACACCACCTGTTCTCACTCATCTGTGGAAGCTAAACAATGTTGATCTCACAGCAGTAAAAAGTAGAGCAGAGGATGCTAGAAGGTTGGAAGGCTAGGGCGAGGGGAGGAATAGAGAGATTTGTTAAAGGATACAAAATTACAGCTAGATAGGAGTAAGTTCTAGTGTTCTATACCAGCGGTCCCCAACCTTTTTGGCGCTAGGGGCCAGTTTCATAGAAGACAGTTTTTCCATGGACTGGGGTTTGGGATGATTCAAGTGCATTACATTTATTGTGCACTTTATTTCTATTATTATTACACTGTAATATAAAATGAAATAATTATGCAACTCCCTATAATGCAGAATCTAACGCTGCCGCTGCTCTGACAGAAGACGGAGCTCAGGCAGTGATGCGAGTGATGGGGAGCGGCTCGGAATGCAGACGAGGTTTTGTTCACTCACCTCCTGCTGTGCAGCCCAGTTCCTAACAAGCATGAACTGGTACCTGGTCTGTGGCCCCGGGGTTGGGGACCTCAGTGCTATACCACTGTGTGATGACTGTAGTTAACGATAACATATAGTTTCAATAGCTAGACAGAGGATATTGAATGTTCCCGACACAAAGAAATGATAAATGTTTGAAGTGATAGCTATGCGAATTACCCTGATCAGATCACTATACACACATGTATCAAAACATGTACCCATGAGGATGTACAGTTATTACTTGTCGATTTAAAAAATTTAAAAAAAACAAATCGGAAAATTTTTTGACATGCTCCCCAACAAGAAATGGAATCCATGTCTTTGCCCCCTAAAAACGGGATGGGCCTTTCCGATGGCCTCGGTGAACAGAATCCTGAAATGAATAGGGCAGTGGAGTGATGCTGTCTGATTTTCAAGGTTGGGTATGTACCGTACCCCAGAGAGATGAGAACACGTATCCACTGAAGGCCTGAATGTTTATGTCAGGATTATTCATGATAGTCAAAAACTAGAAATAACTCAAATGTCCACCAACCGATGAATGAATAAGTACAGTGTGGTCTCTGCGTCCAGTGGAATATTACCTGTCCATAAACAGAACTAAGTACTGGAACACACTTCATAATGAATGAACCTCGAAACATTATGCTAAGTGAAAGAAGCCAGTCACGAAGAACCGCATATTATGTGATGCGATTTATACAAAATGTCCAGAACAGGCAAATCTGTAGAGGCATAAAGTAAATTGATAGTTGCCCAGGGCTGGGGTGGTTGGGGAGAAATGTGGGTGGGTACAGGGCTTCTTTCAGGGGCGATGACAATGTCTGAAATTGATGATGGTGATGCTTGCACAGCTCTTGTTAATATACTAAAAATCACTGAATTGTATACTTTAAATGGGCGTAATGTATGGCATATAAGTTACATTACAATAAAGTTGTTACCCAAAACTAGGGGACTGGTTATACATTATTGTACAGCCATGCAGCAGATACTATAAGGCTGCAAAGAGAATGAGGAAGCTCTCTAGGTACTGACAGGGAAGCATCCCCAGGATGTAGTGTTGAAAAGCAGGTTGCAGAATGGTGTATAGAATCTGGTCATCTGGGGTTTTAATTTTAGGAAATAAAAATATATATTTGCATTTATTTTTATTGGCATAAAGGAGCCCTAAATGGATAGAAAATAAACTAATAAAAATTGCGGTGGGAGTGGGGGACAGGGTGCTCAGGGGACAGTGTGGGGTGAGGCTGCTTCTACGTTTTTGTGTGGTTTTGACTTTTGAACCGTGTAAATACAGCATCTGTTTATTCAATTTAATTTAATTCAAAGTATAAGTTACAAGTTAATTAAATACACAATGGAAAATAAATAGGGACAGTTAATTCTGCTCCAGGTGTTGTCCACTGAATAGCTAACCAGCTGAATGAGAACTAATACACTTGAAGGGAAGGGCCAACAAATCAAGCTGATTTTTTTAAAAGTTGATATCAGGTTGTAAATATCTTTCTTCCTCATCAGGAAAATAATTATACAATAATATTCTCATGGGAAGCTAAGGTACACACACACACACACACACACACACACACACTCACACACACATCAAGCTTCTCTTCCTTGGAGGAAAACAAAAGCAAAACGAAGAATGGTTTGCGAGTTATCCTGTCTCTGTCATTATGCTGAGATGGCCTTCTTTTAAAAGCCACATCTTATTATCATTTTTCTTCTTCTTTTTTTAACTTTTATTTTATAAATAATTGTTCTTTCTCTTTTACTTGGACAAAAAGTATGATCTAATAAAAGCCACATCTTAATGGCCATGGTTAACATCTAAGAACCGTTGATTGGGGAGGAATACAAAATATACATCAATAAGCTTCAATGCAGTATCAGGCAGGTGGGGCAAAGGTGTTTGGTACTTGAAAAGGAATCTCCAGAAAAGAGCTACAAATGTGTAAGTCACAGTAAACCCGAACTAGACACTCTCTTTTAGCTTCCTGTGGGGAAGAGAGATGAGGAGCAAAAGACCATGTGGCTGGCTGCAGTTAAAGTAAATCTGACACACACACATGCACACACACACCCCCCACACCACACATGTGCACGCACACACACATGCACACACACCCCACACCACACATGTGCACACACTCACACACACATGCACACATGCACGTGCACACACCGCGCACATGTACGCACACATGCACACACCCCACACCACACATGTGCACACACGCACGCACATGCGCACGCACGTGCACACACCCCCCACACCACACATGTGCACGCACACACATGCAGTGCGCACACACATGCACACATGCACGCACACATGCACACACACCCCACACCACACATGTGTACGCACACACACACATGCACACACATCCCACACCACACATGTGCACACACACGCACACACACATGCACACACGCACGTGCACACACACATGCGCACATGCACGCACACACGCACACACACCCCACACCACACATGTGCACACACACGCACACACACCCCACACCACACATGTGCACGCACATGCACACACATGCACGTGCGCACACACATGCGCACATGCACGCACGCATGCACACATACATGCACACACACCCCACACCACACATGTGCACACCCCGGACGGGGCTCGTTTTGCCTGGGTGTGGTTTCCGGTAGGTCAGGTAGACCAAGGTGCTGTGCTCACCGGCACCACTGTGGAATAAGCCCGCTGAGCCAGGAGCATGAGGTCCCTCAGGAGGGCGATGAAGCTGCACAGACAGTTCAACAGGACCCTCCGGGCAGCCTGGTTGAACACCTGGAGCTCTTCCACGAGCTGGGCATTGAGGGCCTCGTACTCCTTTCTGGCCAGGTCCGACTCATCTCCTGCTGCCCGCTGCAGGTAGCCGTTGTAGTCCAGCAGTTTGTCGTAGCGTTTCTGGATGAGCTTGTGAGGCCCCGGGAATAAAGACAGCAGGGCTGACAGGGGGGTGAGGACGAGCCTCTGCAAGTGAGCTGCCTGACAGAAGAAAAACCGTCCCATTACGAGAAAGGAACAACCCCACACCCTGTGCAGAACTGTCATCAGCAGGCTTTCCTCTTCCCTGCAGGAGCCCAAGGAAGACAGGAAAGCCTCTAACCAAGTTAAGAGAGGATCTGACCATGTTTATGTCTAGCTAAACCTATCCAAGGACTTGAGACAAGGTCTCTGTACTGGAACATTGAACCTGAAGAGTGAGCAGGAAGAGGAATACAAAAGTTAAAACCTGCTCTCCCAAAATATAACTCCATCTTTTTCTTTGTAGCCATTGGTTATGTTGTTGGAGTCATCTCCTTTCACTTTCTCCTTCCCCTTCTTTCTAATCCCAGAGCCAAACTGAGCTATTCCAGCACACGGGGGTAGAGGGGTGGTAATCTCCAGCCTTTGACTACCAAGGCTGTCAGAGATCCACCACGTCACCCACACCCTTTGCTGGCAATAAGGGGAATGTAGTCAGTCTTACAGGAGAGTGTACCCTGTTCCTCTCCTATCAGTTGCAAATGCCTAGCTACCTCGGGGACTCGTTTTTGGTAGTGGAATTGCGTCCCCTACACAGATAGTAGTCCCTCAGTATAGGTATTTTACTCTTGAGACAGAAATGACCACAGAATTGTAACTTTCTTTTTAAATACGTTGAAGGATTATGCGGAAGCTAGTCTGTATCTTAAATTGTTACATGCTCAGGTCTGAATCACTGAAAATGAACTTCATACTAACGCCCAACCCCATGCCATCACTTGATCATTGAATTTCATTTAATTTCTTCTACTGCTCTTTCCTCTCCCTCTATTCTGAAATGCTCTAGTATTCTGTGTTTGCTGCCCGCCCTCCTTTACCCTTTACCATATATGCTTGGGTCACGTGATTATGTTATGGTAATTTGGAAGTAGGTTTCGCTTTTGTACCCCAAAAGATGTCATAGGGAATGAGCATCTGAGCAGTAGCCTGTTATTAATTCATTTAAATGGCTCCCAGTAACTTTGAACTCTTGGGAAATCTGGAAGAGAGGGAAGCCAATCTTGTACTGCCACCAGCAATAGCCAATGCAGATTAAATTTGATGTCTCGCTTATGAGATAATCAATATACACCTACAGACTGTTTAATGAATCCCTTGACTAAGCAAAGAATCTATTTATTGCACCTGGGATAAATTACTGTGTTTGTGACTTGACCGGATTCCACAGGCAATCTAATACAGAATTACACGATAATTACTATATATGTGTGTGTATATATACACACACACACACACACACACATATATCTCCAGTAACTCATAGACATGAACTGATTCACCTGTACGTAGGAATTGTGGTTGGAACAAATAAGAATCAGATTTTATTTTACTATTTTGCCTTACATAAAATGTGTAGATAAGTATCACTCATGATTAGATAAGAACAACTGCTCTGCCTTTAGATAGATATTGAATTCTTAATATCTGATTTTTAAAAAGAGTTCTATATATGTTATCCATTAAAAAGTTACTTTTATATTGAACTTTCTAATAATTACTTTAATTTAGCCTAATTGATCATCTTGTGGTTTTATGCAAGGGAGGCAGGACACCTTCTCTCTTCTTTCTGTCAAGTTCTGGAGCATGCTTGCCGAAGGAGAAGCTGCATACCATGCTCTCAGATGCTACTCAATAAATATTTATTGACTGAATGAATTGGAATTAAGCTAAAGAGACTTCTCTTAAGGAATTTTCTAAAATATGCTCTCTGCAATTAAATCCAGAAAATACAGAAAGAACTACACTTTTTCTATCAAACATATGTTATAAAATCTATTTATCTATCTACCTATCCACTTATCCATCTGCGAATCAACCTGTTTATCTCTCATCTCAGGTCAGTTGTAATCCTAACTTTCCATTGCTCAGTGCTGAAAAACAAGATGCTTCTGCGTGGTTTTCTACAAGGGTTAGGGCCGTATCACTTCCTAGGGTTTGGAAATGTTTGGGGCTCTTCGCTGGTTGTCACGATGATTTGGCACGGGGGATGGGACTGAGATTTGGAGCTTGGTGGGCCAGGATCGCTAAACATCCTCCAATATGAAGGTCACTCAGCGAAGATTTGTCTGACCCAAAATGACAATAATGCCAGCACAAAAATGTCACTTTGAAAATGGTGATGGTGTCTATTATATCTTCCATATAATTCTTGAACTATTACCACGAAATAATAGTACCTATAGAAACACAGGCACTAAATTAAGTTAGTATTATCCAGAGTAGCTTAACACTCAGGTATTTTATTGACTTGAACATGTTTTTATGATTCCCAAGCTATATTTCACAGAACTCTTAGGAAACAAATATTTTACCATGGAACAGAAGAAATAATATATGACTCTTAAGTAGAAATCCTTTCTCAATAGGAAGGCTTTGCTTTCCAGTGTATGGTATGTTAATAAGAGTCATATCCTCTGGGAGCACCTTTGTTCCTTCTGTAAGGACTCAGGACATTCCCATAGACTCTGCTAAGCAAATCACAGCTTTCTATCTTAAATCCTTGACATAGCATATGCAAACTTTAGAATAAATATTGATTTTAAAAGCTGCACTGACACTGACTACTCTTAGAAACACACTCCGTAGTCCTCTTACATTTCCATTATAGTAAGATCCTAACTAATCCACTTTAAAAATATTTTATGATTTTTAAAAATCCCCTGTTTAAAATCTACTAATTTTGACATTAGTATTTGCTTTAGTGCATGTTTTATTTCTAACTCCAGAAACATAAATGAAAAGCAGCTTTTCTTTTAACGACGCTATTTAATTTGCATTTATCTGTGAATACAAATAACTCACAGAGTCAGGACAGGGATCTGAGGCACGACTCAGGGTCTCTGCATAGCCCCTGTCCTCCTCGTCTTGCCTGCGTGAAATCTCCCGGAGGTCCATGGCGCTCTGCAGGGCCAAGGGCATGGCAGCCTGAAACCAAGAACAAAGTTACAGAAGGGGCGAGTTCTGAGGCCAATACAACTGAACATATCCCAGATGTGGACCTCATTGTCATGACCCTCTATTACCACTGAGAAATTTTAAAAAAATGAAAACAATTCCATGGATACTCTGTACAATCAGGTTACTTGTAGCAATCTGTTTCCTAACTTTCTCCCCATGTCACTTCCTCATAATACTCTGTACCGGACCCTCTCTGATTAAGTAAAGTGCCATCTTAAATTCATTCTCAGCATGCAACTCTTACAAATCCCTTGTTTTGAAAATCACTCCTCTTTGCTTTATATCGTCAGTTCTCCTTAGTGAATCTAATGCTTTCTTTAAGAGAAGACGCTTACATTTTTGTTGCATCAATTAGTGGAAATAATAGACTTTCCGGTAGATGTTCCCAAGAGGCATTTTCTCCTCTAAAGGAACAGAAAGAACAGGGTTCCCACTGCCCTCTGGCTGTTACAACTGTGTTTTGGTTTTCTTCTCACAGAAGGCGGCACTTTAGGACGAGAATAGCGAACCTGATTGTAAAATCAGGCTTCACGTCCTCTAATAAATAAGAACAGAATGCTGCGTGTCCTTATGTAACAAGGAGCTCATCGTGCCTGTCAGCACGATGCTTTGCTGGTGTGGTATTCTGTCTGAGAGGGTAAAGTCTGCTGCCAGAAACAGCTTCCTGGAAACTGGAAGGGGCCATTTAGTAACAGATTTACATGTAACTCTACTAACTTCTCACATCTCACACTCGTAACCATTGTCGAGATGTTATTAAGGACACTGTTTCCTCTTCACGAGATCCATTGGAGCAAACTCCTGACCGATCTTTCTACTGAGAGTAAGTACTGTACTCCAGCTCGCTGGCTGAAATCAGTGATTCTCGTGACGGTCAGGACAACCTCCTACGGAACTGGGAATCTGTGGGGGTATTTTTCTCGTAGCATAATGACATGGGAGCGTTACGTTTCGTAGTTCCTATTATTTTGTGGTTCAATTTATTTTCCTTTGCACTGATTTTTCTACTCATTTTAGGTGCCAGAAAGAGATAAGTTAGTACAAACGAATAAACAAATAAAACTTCTGCCTCATGTGCAATTCTGCGTAACAAAGCCATCTCTGTTGTAAAGACAGCTGCTGATGGTCAGGGTGGCAGTCATCCGGTCCCACAACATGGGGATTTAGGCTGAGGGGAGGGCGGAGTCGGTAAGGGCACAAAGAGTAAAACTCAAGTCTTGATGTTGGCTTCTTTCGCCAGCAGTTTGCAGGCTTCCAAATTTGATACGGCGAAGCCTCATCCTATAAAGGAACAGTCAACATTCACTCTTCGCAGTCGCGGCATTCTTGCAGAATCATTGCCAACGGTTGTGTCTCACTCACCTGTATGTGCTGAAGACACAGTGAAATGTTCTTCACACAATGCCTCACAGTCTTTTCTAAAGATCTAAACAGCTTTTCTTCTCTGTTAAAGGTATTGTCTTTCACCTAAAAATATATGGGAAACTGTTTATTTCAGAACTCAAATGAATCCAACATTTAAAAAAATGGCACAGACCAATTGACCCAGCACATTAAAAAAAAAGTTCCTTGTTGACATGAAAACCTTTTGTGGTGTGCTGGCTGTCTTCACGCAGCACTTGCTAGTTGGCACACGGCACAGCTGGTGTTCAGTTAGTGTAGAAAAGCTCGTCCTGCAGCTTAATTTGCTGCTGTTCATTTTCACCTAGCTTCACCCAGTAGCTGTAGGACAGTAAAACTTTCCCCCACAATTTTTAATGGCATATATCGTATATGTACTCAAATTATATTACATTTTTGGGGTTTGTAAAATAGCAGAATTTGATCTCTTGCCTGGAATTTATTGTTTTGCTCATATGACTCATTCCAGTTTATTTCACAGTGCGTATTTAGAAAGTATTCTTAGATTCATGGTTAAAGAAATGTAATAATTCTTTATCAACTCAAATTTGGAGGATGATATATAATCTTACCAAAAATAGTCCTTGTTAAGGTAACTCAGCAGAGTTAAGATAGTGGTCACGTGTTCAGTTATTTTTTTATCTTATATATTGAGAAAAATGTGCATTTTATATGTTGTGGCCATTTCTAGAAGCGCACACTTATAATTGCTGTTGATGGTAAGCAGTGTTTCTTGGCAATCAGAATGGCCACAAAACAAGATCAGAACCAGCCTCATGGTGGCAAAATCTCTGTGAACATACAAATGTTTCTCGGAGTAGGAATAGTGTGTGTTATTCACTCAGCACCGGGTCCTGACCGTAGCTGTTCTTGGTTCGTGTTTCTTAATTTAAGATGGTTGGTCTTAGAACTGGGTGGAAAATGGAAGGGGACCATTTAGTTGCTGATTTACATGTAACTCAGAAAATAGAGATGTTTTATTTTATTTTTAAACCCCTTAACACTGTTTATGTAGAAAGCTTTTGATTAAATAGGCAACAGAGTTCTTTGCAATCCATGTAAAATCCAACATACTCTGCCTTAGGATCACCGTGCTCCAACTCGGCCTGGTGTGTATAACAATATGCTGGGGCAGATTTTTAAAATGCTGCTCCCCAGGACCCCGCACCAGATATTTTATTTTGTATGTTTTGGCTGGGACCCAGATGGTACTAAAGTAGGAGGTGAAAGGATCACACTGTGAGAAATACCGCCCAATTCTACCGCCCTACAGCCAAGCCTTTTTCCGTGCTGTTCTCTTTTGCTGGAATACGCTGCTCTTCCTTTTCTGCTTCACAAAATTCTGTTTATTTTTTAAGAACTAGTTCGAATGTCACTGCTTCTGTAAATCCTCCCTCCATTCCCATTCTCCCCACTGTAGAAAACGCATTGTTCTCATAACTCTAGTTAGTGATTTAAGTGGTTCTCTCCACTGATAGATTTCAAGCGTTTGAGGTTAAGTATTTTTGTCTTAATGATAATAATTGCTAACATTTATTAAACACTGACTGTGTTCCAGACACTGTGCCAAAACCTCTCTTCCCATTTTCCCATTTTAATTCTTACACATATATAATGGGGAAAGAAATAGAAGCTTCAGGAGCTGTGGCAGGCATTGCTAAGATTCCCCTGATGTCTGCGTGCTGGTAGAACCCACAGCTCCGGTGTGGGCTGGGGACGTGGCTGCCCTGCTAGAGATGACACTCCCCAGACCCCTCGCAGCTGGCTCTGCCCCGGTAACTGGGTTGAGGCAGACAGGATGTGAGCGAAGCCTCGCGTTTCACTCTGAGTCTCGGCCTTGTAGCATTGTCCTTGGGACTCGAATGAAGACATGGCAGTAACCCGGCTCCAACCAGGCAGATGAAGACAATATGTTTAGGAAAAGTGCTGGAAGAACCGGGTTCCTGCGGGAGCTTATGCAGCAGAGCCCATCTGGGCTCCCATCTCAGGATAGTTATAAGAGAGAGACGAGTGAGTGGAATCTCTTTGTGACAGGTGTGTGGCCTTTACCCTAAGGAATATAGGAGTTAAAGAAACGTGCTCACAGTAAGAGGTAGAGTCAGGATTCAAGCCCAAGCGCCTGAATTCAGAACCTGTACCTTTCCGTCTTTGTATTCCCAATCTCCAACATAGCGCCTGGTGCACGGGAGTTCAATACATGTATGATGAATTGAATAGAATCTTCCTCCTGGGTAATAGCTTTATACCCTATCTCCACCAATATTTCACCTGAGCTGCTGACAAGTGCAAAATTGATTGATTCGAGATTTATCTCTTCTCCAGTCCAGCCTATGCAGCTGATTTTCTGATTAACAGTAAAATGCTTCATTGCTGACAGGACATCCTCTCAAAAGATTAAGGGGAAAAATCTAATTAATATCCCTTCAGGCTACTTTAACTACAATTCACTTCTAGTTCACAACTGAAAAATATAAGAAGCTGATGATGAATATGGTAAAGAATATAACAGGTTATTCAAAAGCCTGCCCAGAATTAGAGCCGGCATTGCCTGTTGTTCCTCGATAGAATTGTCTTGAGTCGGAAGCAAAATTCCAAAGAATGGGGGAGAATTGTTTGCACTATGTTTACACAGGCCCACAAGGGGCTAAAATTGTTTCTCAAATGAATTTCCAATTCAATTTTATTACTGTTGTTTTTAGTGGAAATATCTTGATTATCCTTTCCCTGATCTGTGAACATATACCATAAATATTCCAGACTTCCGCAACAGAGTCCCACACTGAGAGGAGCAGCCTCCTGTGTGCCGGGGACCCAGTGAGCCCCTGGGAGGATCCAAAGCAGCAGACAGAAGGATGATTCAAACCCTGTGTTCCGAGAATGTCCGTGTTGGCCATGGCATGGTAAATTTGGTGCAGCCACGGGAGGAAACAAGAGCAAGGCTTGCAAGTAAGAAGTTTATTATGTCTTGGGTCATCACATGCCACACGGGGTCACAGGGAAAGCGCCAGGTTTAAACTCAGGCTGCAGAAGACAGGAGTGAGGAGAGAGTTGAGGCCAGAGCCTTCACTGGAGCTTCCTTGGGAAAGGTAAGGCAGGGCAGAGTGAATAATTTCCATGGGCTTCGGGCTATGGGTGTGGTCTCTCACTGCCTGGTACCTGGCCTTGGGATGACTTAGGGCAGGAGAAATGTTGGCTTTGTGTGTCAAAGTTAGATAAGGAAGTGGTTGGAGATTTAGACTTGAGATCGGTTGTTTTGCATACGAAAGTTGTCTTCTCGGCTATTTGCTGTCTCTAAGAATTGTCTAGCCCTGGAAGGGGCAATCTCTCCTTGGCCAGAAAGGTGTTTTAATATGTGAAAACATTATACAATAGAGAAAGTGAAAAACATGATTAACATGCCATACAGGAGGAGTTTACATCACGTAGCAAGCAAGAAGTCTGCACATTCAAAGGCAAATAACAATACAAGGCAATGATACAAAATGATGATGATGATGGTAATGGCAGACAATATATATCGATCGAGTGCTTACACCGTATTAGGTGCTTGCTTTATATATGCATCATCTCATTTAATCCTCACACCCATCCCATGTGTTAGGTACTAGTGCAATCCCAGTTTACACATCGAATCTGTGTGCCCCAAACAAATATTGATTAAGTGGCAGAGGTGGGGTCCAAACCCAGTCTGTATAACTTCAAAGACCCTGCTCATAATTTCTTTCCTATGCCGACTCCCGCAAACACGAATCGTGCCAAGATGAGGATGTCAGTGTATGAGGCATTCGGAGGAGGAAGAGGCTGCTTCTACCTAAGTGGTCAGAAAGCTGCAAAGACTTGATGAAGAAGGAAAAAAAAATCTACAGCAGCTACCGTGAGCCGTCTAAAACCAATGCCGAACCAACGTACAGTTGCCTCCATTTCAAACTAAAACCCTCAGTTAGAGATGTTAGCAAGCGATGAAAACAGGCAAATGAGAAGAAAAGGAAAGGGCCGCATGGTATGCTGAGGACCGTCCTCCCTGTGGCTAGAAGCCCACGTCTTTCTACCTCAGGACCATGAACTTGCTCTCCTGTGACTCTCAAAGTGTCCCACTGATCACTTATTTCAGCGTCATTTGCTTCAAAACACCTGGAGTGTTTGTAGAAACACAGGCTTCTAATTGCCCCCTTGACCCGGGCAGAACCTTAGCATCTGTCTTCCAGCAAGCTCCTCGGTAACTCTCAGCACACTAAGGTCTGAGGGCCTTTGCCGATCCATCCATTATTTATTAGGGGATGAAACGGAAGTGGTTCCAGCCGGCTCAGCCGACGCAGAGTGGTTACCACTAACACAGTGTGCCCCTGGGGAGCAAGGGACGAGGGGGGGATACGGGGCAGGAAAAGAAAATCCCACCAGGTTTTGCATCTGAACACTTTGTTTTCATAGATGAAATAAAGGTAAAATGAGTATCAAGGGAGCCCTAAAGGAACGTGATATTTTTTAAAAGCAGAAGGGAAGCAGGGGCGGAAGGAGGGCGTTGCTTTGGGGGTGAGAGTGAGCGTGTGTGGTTGGTGACTCCGGGGCAGCCTTAGGTCCCACGTCTTTAGTGTCCCCGTCTCTCCTTTGTCTGCCTCCCGAGTGGAAGACCACAGCCAAGACAGAGTCAAAGCCCTCCCGCCCCTGCTCCCACCACCGCTTTCTCGAGAGAGAGAGAGAAAGAGAACGAAGAGCACAGGGCAATTGCCTCGATTATCACTGCCCTAGAAATAGCCCCGACAAAGCCAAGCAGAATCTCACAGAATACCCGCATTCGCGTTCCCTGGGAACATCCATGCAGCCCAGGCAGAAGAGTTACCTGCGATTCTCCTCTGGTCAGAATCTTTAGATGGTTTGTCACTCTTTTTGATTTCTTGCTAATTGAATGAATGTTTAGTTTAGACAGTTTGTCTTTAAGGGATTCGTCCTCATCATTCTTCTTGTATTTTAGAACTGAAAAGGAAGAATGCAGTAACATGTCTGGGAACATGCGGCGTGGAAAGCGTGCACTTCACCCATAGTTTTCAAGATCAACATTTATTTTCCGGATAAAAACCTTTGTGATTTTTGACGCCCTGCTGCAAGCGCCATGTGCTCTCATCCCAGCCCTGTCTCAGGTACTCACCTCGGTGACCTTCAGAAACTCAGCCGTTCGAGGACACGGGCTCCTGAGGGCCGCAGGCTCTCTTGTCTCCCACGTTGAGGAAATCCCTGGTGCTAGGGAAAGAGCTCTGCCTCGCTTCTCAGGTAATCTATTCTCGGGGCCGCTGCAATGGGGAATCAGGACCCAACTCATGAAAAGGCAGCTGTCCCCAACGTAAGGGGACCTCCGATCCCAGAGTGGGTCAAGTTGAGTAATTTCTCTGAGCTTTACTTATTTACCTTAAAATCATTTTCACCTCTCGTGTTGTTTGAAATGTTGACTAGCCCTAACATCCAGTGTAGATAAGAGTGTAGGGAGAGGGACAATCTTAGGCACTGCTGATGAGGATTAAATCAACACAGTCGTAAAGAACAATTTGGCGTCATCTAACAAAAATGAAAATATTCATAGTCCATGACCGGGAAGTCCTGCTATTGCTTTTAGGTAGAATTGAGGTCTAATGTTAGGAGTACGAGGACAACTAAGAACTTTATGGACACAAATCACCCTGGAGGACCCAGAGCCCAGCCCAGTGCGTGACTACCTCTGGGATATGCAGCAATCATTATTTTCTTGTTCTGAAATCTCCATTTTATATTAAATACTAATTTTACATCTTAGCTTACAAATAGTTAACGATAAGTTGTTAATTCTAGAGAGCAGTATACTTGCTCCCATCAGTAGAGAAATTATTGCCAAAAAAATCTTCATTCTCTGTGTGCCAGGACCAGATGAGCTCATTGTCCTGGCTGGGCCCTCACCTGGATCTGCCCCTCCCAGCTGCTCTCTGGACGACCTTCCCTCTCACCCCTTCTGCTTCTTACTACAGATGCCTCCAGTGATGGAGGAGTACGTGCTATGCCTATCCTCAGCCCACAACACATCACTAGGAGCGCAGTGGCCAAATGAGGTTAAATACACAGCTGTTTGATTAAAAAAAAAATGTCATCTTCTCCTGCACCCAGCTGGCAAGACAAAACCACACTCTCCCCTCCCCAACTTCTAACTGGATTTCAAATGACCGTGTTCAACGCGACTGCTAGTTAGACATTCTGATTCTCAGAAACGTAAACATGGAAACAGCCATTCATCCTCTGTCTTCCTACCTAGATCTTTCCTTCTTTTAAGCTCGTTGATGTTCACGTTAATGCCCTTCACAGCAGCCAAGGCGTCCTCCAGTGCTCTGTAATCGGGGTGAGAGGCAGGGGTGGAATTCCGAAGTTCACACAGCAGTAAGGGGTATTTCATCACACGCTGGATGGGCTTGATCATCAAAGAGCCCATGTCCAGTAAGTTTGGTTTGCCTCTGTAACAGAGATAAATCATATCAGTTTCACAGACATGGCTTTATGAACTCCTTCTCATTTTTGCGATGTTTTAAATGATTACTCCTGAAACTGTTTGTCTCTCTCTTTTTATTTTTTTCCATTTGGCTGTATAAAATTTCTAACTGCAAGCAAGTGCAAAAGATGACAGAAAAAATGCAAGGGGGAAAGACTACTACTAAACAAAAACCTAAAAGAAAACTAACAAGTCTATCCGTCCACTAAGAGGGGCTCAAGGCATGATTTTCATCCATGCTCCTTGTACTTTTTTTAATAACAGACTTTATAATATAGTGGGAAGTGATTTCAAAATGTATTTTCCATGACAACCAAGAAAATGCATTTTTTCCTGGCGGTATTTTTGTGATTGTCAGTGAGGAAAATAAACTCATTATTTAAAAATCTAAACAGGTGACTCGCAAAGCATAGTCTAAGAAAGCATTGTCATCTCATCCACCAAACTGAGAAGTTGCATTTACAACATTTCGGAGGTTCTACCACAGTCCTCAAAAGAGATTTATGATGAATGTGACCGTTCTGTAGTTATTATTACCGTCACTATCACTAATCATTTCTATCACACAATGACTTCCCATGTGCAACTCGTTAGCCAAGAGATCTTCACATGACTAATATCTTGTGAGACGAGGATAGAGCGATTCCAACTGGGCGTGCCCTTCCCAGGAGGGGAAGAAGCTACAAGCAGCCACACCGCTGTCCAGCCCACTGTCCATGATCTTTCAGCCAGAAGGCCGTGATTTCTAGAAGCCTCTTCGTGCAGAGACAAATAGAGAGACACTATGAATAGGAAATGGAGACAATATTTTCAAATCCTGATAGGTGGATTTTTCATGCTCCCGTTGCTTTTTTAAAGTGCTAATGGATAAACAATAATCCACATAGTCAGAATAGTAAAACAGATACAAAAATGTTGAACAAAATTAGAAAATTTGCATCATTAGAAAAGGTCTGAAGGCATCTCAGAGATCATCTAATTCAACTCTTTGTTTGATAAATGAGAAAATCAGGAACTCTGACCACTGCATGCGCACGCACACATGCGTGCAGATACGCACGTGAGCACACACATGTACACGCACACACACCAGTCACCATCACACCTCCCATCTTATTTCCGTCACATCACGTGTCTCTATCTGGAATCATCTTGTTTCCCTGTGTACTGGTTTATGATCAATTTCCCCGTCACCCCTCTGTCTCCAGCGTGACACAGTTTTCCGCTCAATGCGTATTTAGAGACTGAGAAACGACAGAGTTCTCAGATTTTCTGTAACGTGCTTTTTTTTAATATCGAATATTTTTCTACAAAAATTGCATGATGGTCCTGAATAAATGACTGAGGACTTTCGTTCCCATGGAGAGAAAATGATGACAGCGTAATACAGAGACTGAAGCAAATCGAAAGGTGACATTCACTTAGGGAAAAAAAGAAATTAAGGGTTGGCAAGGGAGAAAAGAGTTGCTTTAATGTGTTTTATCTGTACTTCCTATCCATTTGCACCCAATTTATTAAGGGAGGAAAGGAGGGAGGTAAGAAGAGAAGGTAACAGTGAGGGAAGGAGAGAGAGAGAAAAAGAGAGAATCAGAGAGAGGGAGAGAGATTGATTACTGGTTTCCAGGAAGACAGAGTGAAGTGGATAAAAAAATGTAAATCCATTATAAATACTGAAAAAAATAACTAAAATGTATTTTCTGATGGTGTATCAGTAGCAGAACCTTTGAGTATGAAGGACAGCATTTTCTTATGTATCATTAGCAAAGATTCTTTAACAATACACTTTAGACACATAAGTAGAAATAATTCCTTTAAATAAGAAACAAGTCAGAAATACAGACGGTATTAACTTGATTAGAGGAAATCACATAATCTATATGATTAGAATTTCTTTTGTGTTTCTCCTTTATCACGAAATATTAATTCATTTAATCTTTTGAAAATCACTGAAAATATTATCAAAATATAAACATAATCAAACATTTCCAAAAAAGAAAATCTACCTTAATAAAATAACTTACTAGTGTGGGCTATAGGTATACATACGCTTTTTATTTTCATTTATAAAAAACCAAATGTAATATAAACAAGTATATTTATACAAGTATAAATGATATACTTGTATCTTTGAGCTGCCCTTAGGTAGATCTGCCAAAAATACCAACCTAGGCCCTTTAGTTGTGTCCAAATAGTATTATTACTTCTTTTTCCATCACTCTTTGGCATGAGAGTTCTCTTTTCTCAATTTTACATTTCAAATAACAATAATAACAATTATAAATGATTATTGTTTTTCTTAAAAGCATAAAAGACGCAAATCCTAAGACAGCCATTCTCAAAGAGGAGAAATCTCCCAGACACTGTGCCTTCAGACAGGCTTCGCACAGGTGCCCAGGTGAAGAACGATGCTGTTCTGGCATCTGCGTCGCACAGACAAGCAGCGCGGCAGACGAGATAGAGGATGTGTCGTTAGAAAATGACATTCCGTGCGCTCAGTGCCACAGAATTCACCCCGTCTCATCCGCCCCAGTACGATTAAGTTCTGAGAACCGTGCAAGGCAGATGAGTCCTGAGTGTGACAGGGCCCGTCTCCCCCACACTCTGTAACCCAATGTGTAACGATTCCCCGTACGTATTGGGCCGAAAACTAAACAGTTATTGATTTGTAATTCTGTTTCATCTTCCTCTGTCTTATCATGCATACTTTGGCAAGTATTTAGTGCCGTAAGTAGCTACACTAATCTCAGTACAAATTATTACTGGGATTTTACGAAGTCAAGTAAACACAGCTGTCTTTGTTTTAGCAGCATCCAGTTTTTCTGTGAAAAGCTTCACATTAAATATAAGAAAAAAGTTGCACAATGAAAATAAAATTGACATTTAAATAATGTAAAAACCATACTAAAAACAGAAAAAAATCCCCAGCCCAAGCTCAATAGGCCCAAAGGCTCCGGCAGAGGCCCTTTTGGGGAGACGAAATTGACAGCACCATCCGGTCGTCTGGAAACATGACTTAGTTCACTGGCCACGAGCTCGGCATTGAAGGTCAGAACATAGAAAAGTAGGAAAATGAAGACGAAGAGAAAGAAGAGGAGGAGGAGGTGGACAAAAATGAAGACAACAGTCAGCAACTGTTAACTCCCAGAGAAACAAGTAATCACTTTACTCCAAGTTTTAGTTCCGAAAAGAAATGTACTCGTATATAATATAATAATCCAGACACTGATTATTGCTTTAACCAAATTACAATGTAGCTACATAGAATGGAGAGATGGAAAGGGTGTGTGTGTGTGTGTGTGTGTGTGTGTGTGTGTGTGTAGTGGAGACAGGGATAGAAAAGTGAGATTAAATGCTTGGCTTGTGGTGGTAGTGGGGGGAGTCAATAGACAATACCTAAAAAGGAAAAAAATCGAGCATGTTTTTAGAGTCATAAAGATAAATACTAAAATAGTCAGCTAAAGATGTGAAAATGGTGTGTTCTGATGAGGAGCATTTAGGAGCAGGTAGGAGAAGAGGCACTACTATTTTTCTTGACAAATCTTGTAGAACTATTTCGCTACTTAAACCATGGCTACATACCATTTTTTTAAAAAAAAGAAAAAGTTTTTTTAAAAAAAGGAAACATGCAACAATACTCAAGAAAATCATGGGGGAATAAAAGTACTGACCTGAGACTAGTTATCCGGTTATACTGGATACTAAAGTACAAAGCTACAAAAAACACCCCAGTTTTGTGCTATTACACGTATAGACAAATGAGCAGCACAAAATAGAAAATCAAGAAACAGATAAAAATATGTATGGTAATTAAGTACATGGTAAATATGACATTCCTATTTAGTGGAAAAGATGAATTATTCAATATCAGATGTGATAATCAGCCATATGCAAAAAATAATACATCATTGTTCTACATCATTGTTTATACCAAAATAATTTCTACAGTGCTCAAATGTTTAATTTTAAAAAATGAAACCATACAACATTTAAAGAAAACATGGGATTACACTTTTAAAAACTAATATTGGAATTTCTAAGCAAGGCACAAAATCCAAAAGCCACAGTAGAAAAACGTGGTGAGTCTATTTAAACATTTAGTTCCGTAAAACTGTATAGATTAAAAACAAAACCAGAAGCAGCCATAAACTATGTTAAAAGTCAAATGAGAAGCTGGAAAAATCATCTATAGTATATAAGACAGACAAGGGTGATATACTTGCTAATTACAGAGACATTACAAATCTATTACAAAAAGATGAGCATCTTGATAAAAGTAAATAATCATTTAAAAAGATCATTCACTAGAGATGAAATACAGATTGCTAAACACACAAGAAAAATGCTCAAGATCACTAGTAATACAGATTAAAACAACAAAAAACCATTTTTGGCCTATTACGAGTTATAAAGATACAAATATAATATTAATTGTCTCTAGTGTTGGCCAGTAGTGGATCAGTGGGCAATTCATGTTGTGGGCATTGGAAATATACATTAGCTCAACTTTTCTGAAATTTTTTGACAATATGTGTCAAAAGCCACCGTTTGATTTAGCAACTGTGCTTTTAGAAATTCATCCTAAGTAAATAATAAGATTATCGTACAAAGATCATATATAAAAATGAACACGTGACATCAGTGTTTATAAGACAGACACAATTCAACTCTCAGTAAGGGTTTGGTAAACTAGATTATGATATATATATATATATATCAAGTAGAACATTATGCAGTTATAAAACAATGTGGATTTATATTTACTGGCATGGAAAGATGTCCACAACATGTTGAAGAATGAGGTAGCAAATCCACACACAGGAAATACATAGTGTGTCTATTTTAGTCAACACGTATGTGTGTAAAGAAAAAAACTACAGTGAAGCGAGGTATTCACTGCAATGTTCAAAGCAGTTTGGAATATGACTACCAATTATCTTTACTGTCATTATTTTTATTTTGCAGCAT